CCTACTATGTGGAGAGAGATTTATTACAGGGAGTTGGGCGCTCACAGAATCGCTGGAGGAACTGGAGCTAGAAGCAGGGCAGAGTTAGACCACAAATGATCCCCAGCATAATACAGATGAAGCCCACAGCCTACTGACTACCTGAGCCACCTCTGGAGCTATTGTGCTCAACGCACAGCCCCAGCCACGATGCCAAGAGTGGATGACCAAAGTCAAGAAGCAGTCACAGCTGTGTTCCACCGCCAGGAAACTAGAGAAGGGACAAAACCTGCTTCCATTTCTGCCTCCTGCTAGTGATGCCCCAAAGGGGCAGGACAGTATCCCGCAACTCCAGTCTGGCAAGAATACTGCTGATTAGCAGCACCTGACTCACATGCAGAACTCTAGCTGCACATGAGGCCAGAGCGTTCAGCTTCTTTAGACCTCTGCCACCAGAAGGAGGGTACCTGGAGGTGGAGTGAGTCAGATGTGTGTTCCAGAAGCCCACCTTAGCTTCATTAATTTATTTTTTTAAGAGAGATTTTTGCTATAGGGCACATGCACTTGCTGAAAATACAGAGAGAGACAGAGATACAGAAAGCAAAAAATCACCCCCTTGGTGGTGGGAGGGGAGGCAGCCAAGCTGTAATACCTTCTCCTCCATTGTCCTGTTGGGATTTTGGGCATGCAAGCACACACGACCCATGTGAGTTTCAAGCCACTGGGTCTGGGACTTGAACTGCTGTCAGCCATGTGGGAGTCCAGAGATGTAACTATTATGCCATCTGCAGTCCCTCTTAGCATCGTTTTTTAGCCACAGAGAGAACCAATCAAATGTGCAATAGTTCACACCTACAACGGAACTCCATCTGCCTTAGACAGGATACTGTCATCCATAAATAGCAGTGCAGAAAAGTTTATAACATAGCACTAAGATAAAACAATAAACAATAAAAAATAAATAATAAATAATAAAAAGGAGAAAGCAAAATAGAGGCCACTAGATGACTTTATTTAAAAAACAAATTTGCCAGAGGGCACAGTGCACTGGCCAAAGAGAGAGAGGGAGAGGGAGAAAGCACCCCAGGGCATGAGCACGCTGCAATTTCTTCTCTTCATTTCTTCACCCTGTCAGGATTTGGGGCACACAAGCACACACACCGGGCATGTTCACACCCAGCATGTTTTTTTTTTTTTTCTTTTTTTTTGGGAGAGATTTCCACCGTAGGCCGCGTGCGCTCACCAGACAGACAGAGAGAGACACAGAGACAGAAAGCGAGAAATCACCCCCCAGGGCGGATGGTCACGCCGCAATCCCTTCTCCTCCATTCTCCTCTCGGGATCTTGGGCACGCACGCACACGCGCCCGGTGTGAGTTTTTTAAGCCACCGGGTCCGGGACATGAACCGCGGTCGACTACGTGGGAGTCCAGCGACATAGCCATTACACCAACTGCTGGTTCCCCACCCAGCATGTTTTCACCTGGTTGTTCTCCAAGCCATGGCAGCCAGGATTTCCTGCACTGTGGGCATGTGGGATCCAGCTGCCTTAATCACCAGGCCAAAGAACCAGACACTAGATGACTTCTTTTTTTAAAATTATTTAATTTTATTTTATGTATTAGTACTATTTTTTTTAATTTAACCAGAAAGAGACAGACAGAGAGGGAAAGTGAGAAAGCAAGCTGCCAGGTACAGACTTGAACCATGGTCGGCCAAGTGGGAGCCCAGAGCCTCAACCACTATGATACATGGTGGCGGATGACTTCATTCTTACTGAAAGAATTTTTAAAAGATGCAGAAGAAAAAAATGCCAGCAGAATGGACACTTTAACTTAATATTTACCTTTGGGTGAGGTGATAGGTAAGTTTTTTCTTCTTTCATGCTTTCCTGTGTTTTCCAAGGGTTCTACACTGTGCATATATTCTTTTTGTCGTTAGAATGAAATAATGTGCAAATATGAAATCTTAAAAGATACTGGAGGAGAGAACAATGAAAGTGGAAGACATAGAAATTAGTGAACCCACGTAAAACAAACGAGGGAGAGTGAGACAGAAGTTAGGGAGAGCCTGGCTCAAGGACAGCAGTCTAACAAGGTAGTCAACGGCAATGCGGAGGGAGACGTGCGAAATGTATTTGGGGTCCAGAGAGGAAGAAATAAACGTATTTGGGGTCTACTCTCCGAGAGATTTTCTTCGGGACCTGGGGTTGCCCCGGCCCCTCTCTGGTCTCCTGG